TTTTTTTGAGACAGAGTCTTGCTCTGTGGCCAGGTGCCAGGCTGGAGGACAGTGGCGTGATCTCGCCTCACTGCAACCTCTGCCTCCTGGGTTCAAGCAATTCTCCTGCCTCAGCTTCCCCAAGTAGCTGGGACTACAGGTGCGCGCCACCACACCCAGCTAATTTTTGCATTTCTTAGTAGAGACAGGGTTTCACCATGTTGGCCAGGATGGTCTCAATCTCTCGAACTCGTGATCCGCCTACTTTGGCCTCCCAAAGTGCTGGGATTACAGACGTGAGCCACCGCGCCCAGCCGATATTTAATTTTTATTGTGATAAAGGGGCATAAAATATGTAGCCCCTTCTTCCATTACTTAGTATTCCTGATTTTTGTTATAGCTGCCTGTACTTACAGTTTCACATTCATTCATTCAACAATATAAGCGCTAATATGTGCCAAGCACTATTTTAAGCCCCAGCATACAGTTGTGAACAAAAGCAACAAAATCTCTGCCCTCATGGAGCTTATATTTTATGGGGAAGAGAAAGCGTAAGATAAAAAAGTAAAATATATATTGTATTAGATGGTAAATAATGCCAAGGAGAAGAGTAAAGCAGAAAAGGGAGACAGGTAATTTGGGGGAGGTTTACAGTTTCAGAGAGGGTAGCCACAGAAAGCCTTGCTGAGAGGTTGACATTTGACTAAATGGTTAAAGGTGGTGAGTTTTAGGAAGAGGGAACTACCAATAAAAGAGCTAGAGGCAAAAACAGCCAGAAGGCAGTGCAGCTAGACTGGAATGAGGAGGGGAAAAAATAAAAGGAGATCAGACTGTGGAGTAATAGGAAGCTGGATCATGTAATGTTAAAGTCTTTGGCTTACCTTTAATTAGATAGGAAGACTCCAAGGCAAGAGTGATGGGCAAGGTTTTACTTTTTAAAAATAAGAGCTTTAGTGTGTAATTCACAAACTATAAAATTCATCATTTTAAAGTGATTTTTAATACATTCACAGTTATGTAGCCATTACTACTATTTAATTACAGAATATTTTCATGGCCCATAAAAGAAACTCTGTGTCCATTAGCAATCACTCTGTATACTCCCCAGCCCTAATCTAACAATTACTCATCTAAGTTTTGACTCTGTGCATTTGCCTATTCTGAACATTTTATACAATTGAATCATATAATATGTGGTCTTTTATG